GCATCAGTTGGAACAAAGTGACAAGTGCTCCCCAATGCAACCGAAATGCCCAAAAGCGTTTACCGTGACTACAGCTTTGCATTCAAGTGGCAACGCAATTGGTAGTCTGAGGCATGGCTGTGGGTCGGTCAGAGCGTTAGCTTTCGTAGAAAACAGATGCAACAGTTTTACTTCCAATTGTGGATTTCAGTTATCCTAGAACTGTGGTTCACATGTAGAGCGAATGGTCCTACACTAAGGAGCCATATTTCTTGTAAGCTGTGCTGTAGCGTAGATGTAAGGCGAAAACCACGTCGTTTTATATTGTGAAGATAAAATAGTGAAAAATGCAAATTACCTGTCCCTCTTGAAATGAGACCTACTGCATTAAGGCGCTCTTGCAAATCCAGAGTTCCACCGTTTTTACATTAGTCAAAAAGGCTTAAATTGCGCTCACTTCATCGGGTGGAGGGGATGTGCCTTTACTTCCTTCGTGATTTTTCCAGTCAGTGTGTAGTGATTTAGCACTAAAAAAACACTTGAAAATTCTTTGTGCTGTACATCATTAGTCATGGAAACAAATATGTTTTGGGTTATTGTGTCTTGCTATGCCCTTCTCAATCCAACTTCACAGCTACAATGAGTATCGCAATAAAATTTAAAGAGTGAGAAGTTCATTGGAATGAGGAGCCCTACATAATAATACAGAATTCGTCTTGTGTAACCTCAATTGTATTCCAAATATCTGATCGCAGTGCTATCGTACAACTGAAGATAACTACTAACTTGACAAGGATTTCCATGATTAGGCTGAAGTTAATGGTGGCCTGTTGTTGCTCCTCAGCCAACATAGTCGCTGTTTTCTCCTGCGAAGTGGTGTTCTCTCCTGTTTTAACCTTCCTTTGCGGTCGTTTGTCCACAACACGAAGTCTGTTTGGTAAGAGGCGCATCGGGCCACAGGCTGGAATCTCACCACTACGCCGAAATGAATGGTTATTTAACGGCCTTGTGGGGGCATGTTTTCGGGACTGAAAGCGCACTTGAGTCGAGGCTGTGCAGTCTACGTTGAGGTATTTGTCGGATTTGCGGCAGTTTGAGCGTATCTGCTGTGCTCGAACGCTTCTCGTTGCACTGTTCTCTTCATCCGAGCTTATCTCTGCTGAACGCTCGTCTCCATCATCTGCGGGCATTTGACGTCGACTACGAGTCCGACTGAAGGGTATCAAACGTCCACTGCTGGTTACTCTGACGAGTTTCTCCACACTGCCAATGTCATCGTGAGCGACGATGAAGGAGCCGCGTGAAGGGGCATGAGAAACTCTACTACCGTAGCTGGGCGTATAGTTGAGCCCCGATTGGAGTCCGAGGATGGCAACAGATTTGCTACGCGTGTGTGGAACTGGGCGACCGTAAGTACGTCGACTCAGTCTTGTCACCGAGGAGTGGGTAGAGTCTTCATGCGGTTGTCGACAGCAATGCCTTGATTTTGATTGCTTCTTGGTCTTAGACTTTCCCCACGTCAGAGTGCACAAGTCAATAAGGCAGTAAACGTTCTTCAATAAATGGTCGCACACACGAATCGAATTTTGAAGGTTGCAAATCCAATAGAGGCCGTGCAGTAATGTGGCGCAATTTATTTGCCCATTCCTCTTGATGTAATGGTTCGATCCGATTACTTCGTCCACCTCAAAACAAAGTATACTTACTTTCACTTGAAGCGCAGGATAGAATCGAAAATTCAATTTGCTTTGGGAACCATTGCAGGGTATAGCTATAATTACCTTTAAAGTTGATGCAAAAAATTTCGTCATTAAGTCGAATAAGTGGCCAGACACGTTAGGTGTACAACTCATGATGTGACCTTAGTAGTGGTCTTTCTGAATCCAGCATCAGTAAATGTCTTGATGGGAAGTAGAAGCTTCGCTACGGTCGACGTGAACCTGAGGCATCGCCCTCACTCCACCATCCATGCAAAAGATTGCACCCAATGTAACTACACCTCCTTGTCTCAATGCATCGAGCGCCATGAAAGTACATCAATGCAATTCATAGACGTTAGCATCGCTTACTTTTCGTAAAGTACAACTGAGGATTAGTTAAGCCAAAGTAGAATGTAACCTAAAATAATAAACTGCTGCATATGTCACATCCTATGGCAATTCTCTAGCAAAATGAACGAGTTCTGAATGATGGCCACAAAACCATAACAGAGGCAGGCGTAACATCTATGTTAGTGGTCACCATCAAGTGATGGTGCGCCTATCGCCTGTCAGACGCTCACCTTTGTACATCTCAATCCGTTTTGGGGTAGAGCCGATGCAAAATAAAACAAACAAAAGCCGGTATAAAATTTGCTTTGTTCCTCCCTCGTGCAAACAGTTTGCAAAAGGTCAAATAAAATTGACGTCTGTTCACAAGTTCATGTCATGTGATCATCAATTAAACATTTTCGCTTCTCACAGATGATAGGGGCCTCCGTCGCAAAACTTTAAATTCCGCCTTATTTTAAAGCAGTTCATTATTACGGGGTCAAGTGGATCGACAACGAATATCTTCTCATAATTTTTTGTCCGTTTTACTTTATTTCGATTTGAACTTTTGTTTTTTAACGTAGGTGGGTGGTTTGCTTAAGCAGCTATTAGTACTTCATTCATTTTTAACAAGAATGCAATAATCTGTACCTGCTGTACACTGTTGTAGGAGATGTTGGTGTCTGAGTGGCACCGATGAAGTAGAAATCCACTACTCAAGTCAAAATTTGCCGATCCAACATCGATAGAATTCTGGCTATCCGTAGCCTCGTCCAAATTCATAGTTACATCACTGCCAAAAAATCGGGCCTCGTTAAGGGAGGTCTGTGATTTCGTATTCGAGATGAGCAAACGGTCGTCGCGCAAATCTATGAGATCGGCAACAGATTTGGGTGAAAGAGGTGCCCGATTGGATCGGCGTAAAATGCCGCCAATGGCAGCATCCATCTGTTTGGCGTCGCTGGATGGCACCGTGAGAAATCCCGAGGGCTCTCCAAGTATGGATTCATCAGACAGCGGCTTTGAAAGTGTCGGCTCATCGAGAAGGTCTTTTGGACAAAAGAATACAATGTTCGTCTACGTGACTCAATTGCAGTTTGCAGTGCTAGCACATACGTTAACACTACAGAGAAATAACCAGTTGCTAGTTGTTAATGATAAAGCATTAGGAAGTTGACATTGTTTTCTAATGCAGCACTTTTTTATACCACCGATTCTTCCAATTCTCCACTCTCTTCAATCATGGGGCCCCGCGTTCACATTGCACTACCTCACCGAATGTGTTTTCATGACAAATAAGGAAGGCGAAGTTCTAGTGACTAAAGTTGTTAAAAGCCACAGGCAATTTTTCGGTGCAATAGATCCCACAAATTTTCGCTTGGGTTTACACTTTTCAAAAAAAAACAAAAACATTAACCCAAAACAGTTTCTTCTTCTCACACAGTATCATTAAAATGATGTCAGTTAAATAAAACAGACTCTTGAGTTGTGGACGACTGAACATTGCAAGATTTAGCGCTTGTTGACGTCGGACTGGAGTAAAGCCCGACTCTTTTTCATTATTACCGGTAAGACGCATTCATTTCAAAGATAGTCCTAAGGAATTGGTTAAAGTTTTGAAGTGGTGACAAGTCTTACCCCTTATACAATGGTTCCGTTGATCCCTTCTGTGCATTGTAGTAGTGTATGTCAGTCATCTGTTCATGCTTTTTCCTTTAACTTTTAATTAGACTCTTTGCTCTAGGACTGCAGAAGCCCAGAAAATCTTGCTCCTCTACTTTGCGTCGAAATGTCGCTTTCTACAAAAGCAGGTGCTGGGACAAATACTGAGGATCTAGCTACTTAAAATCGAGTTGAAAATAGTGAAACTAAAGGCAAAGGCACTATTGGCCATGAATTAGGTGAATTTCAATTTCGTTGAACGTATTTTAGTTCTGTACTCGTCGCGATGGCTAAGTATTCAAAGAAACAACCCAATGCAGAGGCCAACCCCGCCTGCTTCGAAGCATGCCCCCAATATGTATTTGGATTGTGGACTGAGGCAAAAAATAAAATGATGAGCATCGGATAAAGTGAGGATGATAAAAGGCGTTACAATTGCAATGAAAGATGACGTTGTGCAGCTTGTTGTTAGTTTATTAATTTTGATATGCTTTGTGCTGGACCATGCAGTGGCACCGTCGGTTAGGTTTCGCAGCTCTGAATCTGTAGCTATCAATTGGGCTTGAATTAAAATCTTACCACTTACTAGTACTTCCGAGGTGATTAGCGTGTCCCAACTCAAGTCTCCCTTTGCCGTGGCGGGAAAGACGATCCTAGTAATTATAAGAAAC